TGGAAGGGATGAATGATAAGGTTGTCAGGAAGAACATTAATTGGAGAGTTAATTCCACAACCAGTGAAGAAGATAAAAAGCTTTTACTACATATTGCTTTCTTGTTTGCTAAGTGAAAAACTGAAAGGGTCATTGTTTTTAAATCGAGTTGGTGTTTATTTTAAGCAAAAAGAGATAAATTTGCACTGCATCTTTTCCAAGGTTAAACTCGGATCACCCAAGTTTACCCATGGTGGTAAGAAAGGACAAGGATGAAACCATTGAGAGACAGAGATTCTGTAATTGCTATTATTTAGTGGAAGAAACCAAAGAAAAAAAAGGAAAGAAGGAAAGAAAGAAAGAAATTAGCTTAGCTAGGCTGAGGAAGATGCGCATGGCATGGGAGGGATTCCATTATATGCTTTTGAGTTGTTTATGAATTTAATAAACCCTTGTTTTTTAAAACTAAATAATGAAGTGAAGTGCTTAAACTAATGGCTGTCATGTTTGTCCCGACACTTCCAACTCTTGTTTCCTCATATTCCAACTTCAATTAGATGCCTAAACAGCTATTGGCAATTGGATTTTGCATTCTTTTTAATTTGGTTAATGAAAGCCATCCCCCTGCTTAAGGAAATCTTAACCAATCTTCCTTTTGCAGCCCACAACTCTCAAGAAGAGAATGTACAGTGGTCCACTCCCCACTGATCTCACCAAATATTTCCTTAATCACCATTAGATCTTAATTAAATCGTATCTAGTATTTCATCTCCATCAATATTTGTCTGTAAGACAGCTCGAACAGCAGATTCTCTTTGTCTGAACATATCATAAAATGCAAAATATGACCAATTTTTTATATTATAGATTTCCTTTCTTGGGTTTCTTTGAGTCCTGTTTTATGAAAAAGACATAACTCAAATTTTGTATTACATCAAATCGGGGCATTTGACGATATAATGTTGCACCGGGATTAATGACTTTTCTTTTTATATGTATCAACCAATAAGTACTTTCACGTGATAGAAGCGATTATTGCACCCTTTTCTAAATCTGAAAAAAAAAAAAAAAAAAAAAACACCATTCTTCGTTGTTCTATATTCCATAAGTCCAATCCTTTTTTATATATATATAATTTAAAAAACTTTATTTTTAAAATCAAAATAAATTATCATTTACGAATTTATTAAATTTTTACTTATAAATTTTTTAAATTTATAAATCATTTATTAACAAATAACCATTAAAAATTCGAGCTTAGTGATAATATACTCAATATTCATCTCTTATCACTTTTGCCAACTCCCGATGGCATCTGTTCAATAGTTAAAGCAGGCACCTAACCTCCCCCAATTATCTAATATACAGTGACACTAAAAGCTGCATGACAGGGAAATGTGTCTCTAGATTAATGTGAGTGCCTATCAATGTCCATTACCAATCAGGTTCTCCTGTTCTCTTCTCCTCTGTTCAAGTCAATTTTGTTTGTGTTGTATATGCCACCCACAGTGGCCTTCCATGTTTCCCTCCTCCCATACTAAAAGCCCCTTCACGCTTACTTTTAATTAAAGTTCGAGCCCTATTTCAATGCACCAATTAAATTAACAATTCAGGGGATGGATTATTTTCTTTCTTTTTTAAACTTAGATTTCAACAACCCTTGAATTACGCCTTAATTTAAGCCATTATCTAGGTGGACTATGACTTTAAGTATAGTATTGTAATTAAAATTCTAATTAAATTCGAGCCTTAATTTATATAGTAGAATGTAGTCCAATGTGCCACTAGGGGCACGGTCACGCCACCCGTTAAACATCGGTTAAGTTGTTGTCAGGTTCGAGGTAATATTCGAGCGCGTGTGGCACGTGATAACAAAAAGATGGAAAACAAAGTAACTAACAATGAATTTATGAAACCTAACCCATATCTTACCTGTTGGTGAAAAAGATGTCGGTCAAATACTTAACATGAAATCCATAAAGAAAAGAGTAGCTAGGCTTTGAATCCTTTCTATTGGAAGGCAAATGCTTGGCTTGTCACTTTCACTTTCTTTAAAGTCCACACAAAAACACATAGATAAAGTTGGATTATTCCCCATTATTTCCAGCAGCTAAGTTTGTATCTTCGGGCTGTATAAAAAAATGATAAAAGATTCTACAATACTCGATTAACTCCTTAATTAAATCCCATAATTTAGGATTAAAAACACCAAAAATCGTACAAAAGAAAGGTTGATGGAGGACAAGTGGATTTGTGGCATAATTTGGTCCATTTAGCTTTGGTGTTTTTTCCTTTGCCCCTTTTCCCAAACTTTTACGGATTCCAAGCTGTCTCTCTTTCTTTTCCTTGATCAAGCTTTGGCACATGGTAACCATTATAACGTTTTCATGTTTTTTTTTTTTTTTTTTTTGTTAGATTTGATAATTTACGTGTTTATATTATGTAAAATATTAATAAGTTATATTTTATATTATATTTTATATAAAATTATGTATTATAATTTATATTAATATAATAATATAAAATATTTTTAATTAAATTTATTTATATATTTTTAATTTTATATTATATTATATTTTAAATTATTAAATTTATTGATCTTGGTTTATTAATACAAAAGTTGCCATTGCTGATCTTTAGGGTTAACACGTGTTGGGCAAGGGTGTGGCCGTACGCCAGTGGCATAGCTAGCTGCACTAAAGCCTACTAAATCGCTGTGTCCTGGATCCGAAGACAATGGTATATGGCACCTTTTTGGTTTTCAGAATTGTGCAATCTCTTTTGGTGGTCCATGACCATGGACATTGCCACCTTGCTTTCCTGACGAGGCAGCTCTAGCTTTTGTTTCTTTATCCTGTCTCCTAACTATTCGTCTCAACGTGTGTTATTAGATTTCATTTGAATAAGCAATGAAATTAAAAATAATAATTAAAAAATTATTATAATTATAATTATAATTAATAAATAATTTATATTAAATAAATTTTATTAAAATTAATAATATAATAAATTTAATCGCACAACATCGAAAATGATGTAGAATCCGCGACTACCAACTTTAGCTTTGTGGCAGCAAATTTTAATGAGCCTTCGTTTCGAACTGACGTCATCATTTTCTAACAACATGGGCTTCAATTCCTGCTTGAATCCAATAACATGGGTCATTACTTTAAAACTCAAACCCACATTTCTTAATTACATGGGCTTTTATATCTTGGATTTCTAAGCCTATCCCCTACAGGCTAATGTTTGGGAACTCAACCCCTGCTATTTTGGGGACCAGGCCTCAGCTCTGATGAGGGGCTCAAGCAAGTTTCGAGTGGATCTACTTTGGGCCTTAACATGAATGCATGAAGTTGGTTTGGAATCGTGTAAGACAAATTGCGATGGACGGAAGAGGGGCAATTGCCCATTTCGGTTTCAGGAGCTGCTGCAGTTGATAGGCTTCAATGGACTTGGGTGAGGACTGAGGGGACCATAATTGTTATGCGGTTCCAAAGTAAGTTAATGATGGTTTGGTTGGATTATTTTGATTAATGTATAACTTTTTAAATTTTTTAAATTTGATTCAAATTCAATCAATTTTTTTTAGTATTGATTTAATTTGAATTGAATTTTATCGATTTTATTTGATTCATTAAATTTTAAATTATTTAAATATAATTTTTAATATATTAAATAAATTTAAGCTTGAAATTATTTTTTCTTTTATAAATATTTTAAAAAATAACTTAATAAAATATATAATTCAATTCGATTTAATTTTTTTTTATTTTCACTTTCTGATTTAAAACTTAACTCGAACCTAACATATATCTTTGATATTCAAACTTAATCTAAACCAAACTAAACATTATAATTTTGAATTGATTTTTATTTTTTAAATTTTTTTCTCCCTTTTAATTACAACCATATCCAGGACTTAGTTAAATGGTTCTGAACATGCTTTACCTAACAGTTAAAGTTTGAACTCTAAGGGATGGGCATGAACAAGCACATGTTAATTTCAGTCTCTTACTGTCAAACTCACTAAAATTCAATTATGCATGCTAGCTAACCGGATTTAGTACCATTCAACCTGAATACATTGATTTTTGGATTTTATATGTATTTATAAAACTAAACCGGTAAACCAATCACATAGAACCCATTTCACACGGCATGTTCGTTCTTATTAATTGGATTTTGTATATGGTTTTTCTTTTTGGCTACACCAAAAATATCATTGAACAACAATATTTTAAAACTATTCGAAAGATGACAAAATACATGAAAATCCAATGATAATTACTCCATATGACTAGCCGTCTGATGTGCACAAAAAATAAATTTTATATTTTATTTTAGTTGACGAGGCCATGACAAGTCATAATACACAAAAATGGAATCAAAACTTTATATATGTATAAAAAGAGCATTATGCATCATTTAAAAGTTTTATATCATGTAGTTAGTAGTCAAATTAAAATAAAAAAACTCAAAAGTAGGTAGATTATTTAATTTTTTAAATTAAAATAAAATATATCATATTTGATAATTTAAAATAAATAATTACAGATCATATATTTAAAATAATTTCAATAAATAATTATCGATAACACTCGACTTTAAAATTTTTTATTTAAAAAGACGAAGTTTAACTAATTAAACTTATTGGAGTTAGCATTTGAATTACTTCATTATTAATAAATTTGTATATCTATATTATATAAAATATTAATATTTTTATGTTTTGATTATATATTATATAAAAATTAAATATTATAATTTATGTTAATATAAAAATATAAAATATATTTTTTAATTTTATTAAATTTATATATAATTATTATGAAAAATTTAAATCATATCACATTTATATTTATATTTATATTTTATATAAATATAAAATCATCTTATCATATTTTATATTATTATGACAGCTCGTTTATGATTTTCAGGGAGACACCCTGGTCCTATTTATGAAATATAAAATAATAAATTTTGTCAGAATGACATCAGGAAAAAGGATGCTTGTTGGAGTCAACGGTAATGTAATTCGATGGTCCAGGCTTAAACAAAATTGTTATATGATTTTGTGTAATGTAATTCATCCTAACCCCAATTCCCGTTAATCCTCCATGGGCAAAGGCGGTGGCTGTGTCCCAAGCAAGAAAAAGCTTCCTTCCTACGTGGAAGGCGCCGCCCGCCGCCGTGGATCCACCACCACCATCACCAACAACGCACCTGTCTCCGCCGATGAAGAAACCCACGAAACTCCTACCGTGGTGGTGAATTTTGTAAATACCCAATCAGTTACCGCTACGTTAAAAGTCTTCATTGTTTTTTACTCCATGTACGGTCACGTTGAGAGGTTGGCGAAGTGGGTGAAGAAAGGAGTCGACGGCGTGGAAGGTGTCGAGGCCCTTCTTTACCGGGTTCCCGAGACGCTTCCGGAGGACGTGCTGGAGCATATGAACGCGCCGCCTAAAGACCCGGAGGTTCCGGAGATTAATGCGGCGGAATTGGCGGAGGCGGATGGTGTCCTGTTTGGGTTTCCAACGAGGTATGGGTGTATGGCGGCTCAGATGAAAGCGTTTTTCGACTCCACGGGGCAGCTTTGGAAGGAGCGGACGCTGGCGGGGAAGCCAGCTGGGTTCTTTGTTAGTACTGGAACTCAAGGAGGTGGCCAAGAAACCACCGCGTAAGTTATGATTTTTTTTTGTCTTTTTCAGTCTAGTGAAAGATGAACTTTGCCTCACATGAAAACTAAACTTGAAATATGAAAGCTTTCTAGGCTTTGGAAATGTTGGGTGGCTGTCATCTCTTAGGAGTTTCAGTGTTTTTTATTGGTATGTTAGCTATAGAACTTATTCTCAGCATTTCCAGATGATTGGATATCAGATAACAACCTATGTTTGTACTGAGATCACTAAAAATTCAAGGATCTAAAGTGGTTTCATTTTCAATATGAAAATTTAAGGTGCTCCCTGCTAGAAGTCAGCATGGAGTTTGATCTGAGACACATTGGTAAATCAGGCTTATCTGTCCAAATGATCTTTTCTGAACTTCACTGTTGTCTATTATGTTTTTAATAAATTGGTGGAGAGAGATGAACTAGAAATGGATGAATGGATGAATTTATTTCTCAAAAAAGTGCATGTTTATCAACATTCTGACATTTCTGGTGCTTCTAACTGGTTCAGTTGGACGGCAATAACGCAGTTGGCACACCATGGAATGCTATTTGTTCCCATTGGCTACACTTTCGGAGCTGGAATGTTCAAGATGGATTCCATACGAGGAGGTTCACCTTATGGTGCTGGAGTTTATGCTGGTGATGGCACAAGAGAGCCAACTGAAACAGAGCTGGCTCTTGCAGAGCATCAGGGAAAGTACATGGCTGGTGTTGTCAAGAGGCTTTCTCAGGCATGACATTCCCCCCATTTGGGGTTCCATTTTGTGTTGAATATTCATTAATTGGAATTGTGTTTGGCTTTGTTTTATGGTCTTGGCATTTCTGTTGAATATCCTTTCTTCTATTCCTTTTTGCCAATTCCATTCAGTTGAGAAAGATGTGCATCATTTGATACGCTTCTGTCTTGGCTTATCATTATCAAATAAGATGTCTGTCTATATGTGCTTCGTTTCTATAATTTTCTCAGTGTAATAAAAATTTCATTTTCTTTTTATGGTCAATCCAAATCACCCTAAATTCATCAGTCACCATCTGTTTGTCTCTGGTGGATTCACTAACCATTTTATTTACCTATGTCTAACATGAGCATTGTAGGTTATAATGTACTTTTAACATATTCATTGAATCATGTACATGGCATACTCATTTTGTCTGGCAATGCAATAACTAGCAAGATTTTCTTGGATTTTGTAGCCATAAAAATTAAGGGTCTTAAACATAGGCACTTGCCATTTCTAGATCAAAATTTTTTTTCACACCAGTACAAATCTTTAGAGTTTTCTTTTGGGTACAAGTAAAATGTTAGAGAATTATTAATAATTACATGTTTTAATTCAAAAGAAGGTTCCTTTTGTTTCGCAAAAATGACTTTTAGAAAATGATTTTTGTATTTTTTAATTTTTATTTGTTACAAGATTGATTTATCGATGAAAAATAATTTATTGGTCAACGAAAAATGAGATTCTTTTTCTGAAAATTATCTACCCTTTTCAAAAACATTAACAGCCAATTAAAGCTTAGCACCTCAATTAAATTGGCAGTGAGTCATAATCTGAGTCCTCAATTGCCGCGGTCACTGAAAAATCATGACTGCGGGATCTGCATGTTACACCATACATGAACAACTTTATATTTGGGCTAAATGTTGGGCTTTTTCAACCGCTTGCCCTGAAATTCTTATTATGACTGGCCTTCAAAATCAATGGGGCTATCATATACTAAAACAAAATTACAATAAAGTGGGCTTGTTCAATTTTTTTAAGAGATCCAAAAAGATTAAACACAAAAATTGAGCCGATGCTTAAGAAGAAAAACCATTCTCATTCCAAGCTTTTTCTGCCCTCGATTTGAGCTCCTTGACTCTAGCCCTCATTGCATGTCCTTCTTCATCCACCGTCATCTTTATCTCATCTAACATCGTAGCATTCATTTTCTGCTCTGCATGAACGGACAAGCGGTTAAGGGCACTTCTAGATATTTAAATAGTAATCCCGATCATATTTTTAATTATATTATATTTATCACTTTTTAGATATAATGGAGATTATTATAATTATTACAGTGGTGAATTTTTTTATTTTTATATAATTTATTATAAAATATAATAATTATAATTATAATTATAAAAATTTTTATTTAATGATTTTAAAAATAGTTTATGACATTATGTTTTTTATTTTTTTTTTAAATTATTCACAAATTTATTTAGATTATAATAAAGTATTCATATTTGGTTTATCTACAAAATTTTTTTGAGCTAAGTTCATATTTAATATTAATTCTAGACAAATCAAATATTAACAAAATATAATATGTTAAATACCAAGCATGTATATTTAATAAAATTACAAACTTAAAAATATAATAATTTCAAATTTCATCAACTAAAAATATAATAATTTCAAATTCTATCAACTACAATTATTGATATATATTTCAAATTTTACCATATGATAGACTGACGATAAGGATCAAATTCTCTATCTTCATTTTGAGAGCCAAGTTGACTACATCCCCATCTTTGTCACCTTTGTTTTTAGTACATTTGAGGTGGATGATATATTTGAGGATGATACATCTGTGGTGCATGATACGTTTGTGGTGAGGGATATATATATATGGTAAATGATACATTTGAGGTGGATGATACATTTTATAGTGGATAATAACCATATAAAGGTGGATAACCATGAGGATGTTGAAAATTAGATTATTCCAGTGGACAGTAACATCTTTGAGTATTAGCTGATGATTTATTATACTTAAAATTAGTATAATTAGATCTCCTATTTGAAGATGAAGAACTTCTAGAAATATCATGATAGTGCTTCTTGGCTTTTCCTTTTGATTGAGCTTTATGTGCACTTTGACCCTCACTAGATTTAGCAGAATGATTTATTTCGTATTCTACCATTTTAATGAAAAGTTCACTAGTAGCAACAAACCCAAGTTCTCTTCTAAGTGGGCTGTAAGGTCGATTTGTATTCATTTTACCACCAAAATTCACACTATCACCATCATCATCATTTGGACTTAAACCCCCACTATAATTACTCTAACTTGATGTTGGGCTTGAACTTGAATGAGACACATTTCTTTCTTGAGATTAACGTGATTATTCAACATTCATTTCATTATCAGAATTATCTACGAGTAATCAATCAAAGTTTTGATCATCTAACATATGATTTTTTTTCTCTTGCAGCCATTCTGCTAATGGATCATCATCTTTAAAAATATGGTTAAGGCTAATAGGATTAAAATTATTATTTATCTTGTCAATGCTTATTCTTTTCTGATGTCTCATCCTTAGTCGCATGTTGTAATAGGTATATATAAGTTTCTAAAGTATTTCAAACTTCAATCTATTTCTTATTTTGATGTGAATACAGCTAAATGTGCTCTAATTATGTTCATAATTTGATGTAAATATTGTTTAACTAAGCACTTTGATTATTAATTTTTGTAATTCAGGAACACAAGTGTCATATATCATTCATTACTCAGCTGTATAAAATTATTTAAATTAAATTTAAATGTGCTATACAATTAAATAATATAAATAAATTATAATTATTTAATTTACTATTTATCTAAATTCATTTGCTTCCAAACTCTTTGTGCATGTGGAGTACCAAATGTTTCATGCTTGTCTTGAAATAATAACAAGTATATTGATTTAAAATACAATAATAAATGAATAAATAAAAAATAATTCTATTTTTAATACATAAAATAAATGTCAATGTTATAAAATAATATTAAATACTAACTTGATTAATTATTTTGATTTGAGTATCTATAAAAAGTTTTAATATTTTAATAATTACTCTTGTACCTTTTAATATTTTTTTAAATATATTTGCAGAATGTTCCATTCCAAATTGAAATTGTGGATTTAGATAGTAACTTAAACATAATTCATAATAATATTATATTAAAATAATAAAAAATAAATATATAAACAATTTAACTATAAAAAATAAACATATTTTTAAATGCCATCTATATCCTTGATTTACTTACCAACTGAATGCAACTCAGAGTGTATAAAATTTCATCTATTATCAATAATATTTTCATATTCAATAGAATAACGATAATTTTACTGAATTTTTTGTTTAGCTCTATCAACAGTCTCATAAATAAAGCCAATTGTTGGTTTTTCATCACATCCACAAGGTGCAACATTTTTATCAAAGGCTCATAAATTTTTATTATATCGCATGCTTTTTTTTAAAATCTTTTCTCAAAATAATTTTTTGGCTTCATAAGCAAGCCCCTATTTTTGTTGTTCCCATTTTGATTCTTTAAATTTTTATATATTCATCAATAATTTTTTAGAGTAATATATTTTAAATTAATATTTTAAACCATCATATCATAAAAAGATACTAGATTTAAATAATTATACTAATTACTAACATTTGAATTGAATATCTCTCTTAAATCTTGCTTTTGCCTCATTATTTCTTCTAACTATATGAAGTGAGTGGCAAATTGGATAAGAGTAAGACGAAGTATTTGCTTTCTTTGTGTATATTTTTTCATCAAATTAACAATCAAAATGTAATTGTATATAAAAACAAGTCACAGGTTTTGCATCATCCAAAACCTTTGTCACATTTTTTTTGTCAATATCTTTAAGGCACAAGTCCAAACAATGAGCTGAACATGTTATCTAAAACAAATGTTTTCTCTGCTCTATTAATTTTTTTTTGCGACTTTAAGTGCTACTTCATTATCAGTGACTATTTGAACAATGTATTTTTCTCCAATTTTCTTTATAACTTCATCCAATAATCTATAGTAAAAGTTTATATCTCTACTATGAACACTTGAGACATCTATAGATTTTCAAAAAATGATCCCTTTACTATAGTAACCAAGAAAATTAATGGTATGTATTTAATTTAAACTGTTGATCTAACCATTACACATCAAAGTGACACACAATTCATTCCAATGAGCTTTTAATCCATTAACTCATTCATGAATTTATTGATACTTAGACTCTAAATACACATCTGAAACCTCATAAAGTGTTAAAAATTTTATATGTTGGCCAACTTCTGCTACCACAGAAATTAAATTTTGTAACCATTGAGGGTTTGCTAATTGAAAAAGAAGTCGATCATATATAAAAAATTTTGATACTAATTCACTCATCTTCTTTCTTAATGTCTTTAAAAATGGGTCACTTATTTTTAATTACCTTGAACTCTTACTTTTAACCAATTCAGGTAATGAAAATTCAGACTTATTTGGAGTTGATTTCCTTGTACTTTCTTCAAAATATTTAGCAACTGAGCCATGAGAGCTTCGTTCCTCTTCATATATATTACTTAAACCACTAGTTCTTTGTTTGAATTCTTGTCTTCTATGCCACTCATGTTGTGATTGGATACTATCTAGCATGACTTATCTAGTAGCGGTGTCTTCATTAGTAAATCTTTTATAATCATCTTGCCCTCTTAACTGTGATAAAAATTTATTTTTTCTTATTTTTGTTGTCAATTTTTTTAATTTGTTTTCTTGAAAAAGTTTTATCATACTTTCTTTTACTATACCTATTAATAATATAGTCAAGACAAAAAGGAGAAAATTAGTTATACATGCTTATGTAATTTTATATTTTTTGTTAAGAAATTAACAATAATATTTGCAAAGGAATTATAAAAATATAACATTCCAGTAATGTTGAAGTATGATGCAACATTGTCAGTTTTATAAGCAATGTGTTCCTTAAAACGTTTTATTCCTCATTTTACAACTTTACTACAAAGTTTGCATGAACATTTTCTTTTATATTTGGCACAAGTGTTCCAAAATGTCAACCTATATCATTATTTAGCATACCTTCTACTTATTTACTTGGGAAATTCTTTACGTAGTTGCATGCTTGTTATTTTATATAAAATTAAATAAAACTTATATTTAGAAATATTAAAGTTACTTATTTCATTATTAAAAATTAAATTTAAGTTAAATTTTTTAATTTTTAGTTAATAGTTTTTAATCTTAAAAGTAATAGATCATAGAATATTAAATTTATTAAGTAACTTAATTTTTTTGATACACTAATTGATATAAATTTTTTTTATTACAAATTACTTTCAATACTTATATAATAAATGGAATATTCAATAATTACACAAAAATAATAAGAATTAATCTAATATCAAAAGAATTGACAACAATATAAATATCAAAACAACAAAAAAATTATTAAATTTTAAATACAAAAT